ACTCTTTCCTGCCTATGCAGGGGGTCGGACTCGATGATCTATTGAGGTCCCTTCCGACCCTAGCATCTATGAATCTATGAATCTGCTCCTGTTCCTGGGAAGGGTCTCGCAGTTTGGGAGAAGGACAGGTCGAGGGCCAGGACCCCTGGTTCCTTCCCAGCTCTGGAGGCCTCTGGAGGCAATAGGTTAGTAAAGGGGAAATGACTTGTGTGTCTTCAGTAAGTCCCTTTGACCGCAAGTCCCTCCAGCACCCTGTGTGTCTAGGTGGGGCAGGGCTGGGGCAGGGGGTCGATAGCCCTGGGCTCTCTGTGCTGGGAGCCCTCCCCATTGTGTATATCCAAACCGCAGCCAGGAAGCAGCCCTAGGCCCAGCAGCACAGGGAAAGGAAGGGAGATGGGTCCGTCAGGGCTCCCAGGGACAGTTGCTGGGACAGGGGCAGCGGTGGAGAGCGGGGAGGCCTGGGCATGGACTGGTAGAAGTGGCAGGGCCTGGGGGTTTGGGTGTCGGCGAGGTGACCAGTGTCTCTGCCTCCCACCCCCAGTGCTGACACGGCTGCAGAGGGGAGGAGACGAAGGTGGGGAGCAGTAAGAAGGTGAGTGTCCCCTTGCACCCCAGCAGCACCAGGTGTGAGAGGTGCCGTCCACCAGCCCACATGATGATTGGGTGCCTCCTGCCTCCAGGCCGCTCAGCATGAGCCGTCCTTCCTCTGCCATGGCTCTAGTGCCCCATAAGGACCGGCTCTCTTCCATTTTGGCCCCTCATTGCCCACCTCTGGGCCCAAGGACCCTCCTGGCAGGGTTTTCAACCCAGGTTTTGGACGTCAGGGATTCTGGCCCTGGTCCAGCCTGCTGGGACAGAAAGCCCCACTGAGCCATGTGTGAGAACCACGTACTGGTCCCTGGTGGGGAGACTCTCCTTTACCACTTGCCCGTGGTTGTTGCTGGGTGTCAATGGAGGGGTCAAGATCCACCCCGTCTCCCTCACACTGGTTTCTTCTCACCTGGCCTGCACCCCACCCTGAGCTTTCCCTGACTCTGCCCCTCTCCCACAGGCTGGCCTGGGTTGTCCCGTGCTGTAATGCCCCCAGGAGATGAACAGCTGAACTCCTCCCCTCCCCATGCACCCCTGTCCTCCCTTCCCTCATCCTCCCCTGCCTGATCCGGGATGGGCCCACAGGATGCCAGTGTCGGTGATTCTGCCTCTCTGAGCATGTAAGTGGATTCCTGTTCCTTCTAGGTTTCCGCAGCCTCTTCTTTTGTCTCGTTGTCTTAAGCCTGCACACTCCAACTGAGGGGC